CCAAATCCCCAGTCCAGGTTGTATTTGGGATTAAGTGTTCTATTCTGTAGTTTCGAGTGTCACTGAGGACTACTTTCCAGCATGATCGATAAGTTGCTATTAGACCCAGGCATCAAGAAATCCTGACTAGGGGCTGGGGATTTAGCTCAGTGGTTCCAGCGCATGCCTTGCAAGCACAAGGACCCGAGTTCAATCCCCAGTACCACAAAAAGAAATCCTGACTACATTGCTTTTAGCTTTCATATTGAAAGCATGGCTATTCTTGGAGCAAATTACATTGGTAAGAAAGAAGTTGGCCAGAAATGAGAGTGTTTTCTGATCCTTAAAAGTATGAGGAAAAAACCCAGTCCTTGGCCTAATGTAGTAAAAGAAGGAGAATAAGTAAAGAAAATAAGATACATTAGGATCTTCGTGCTTAGCTTCCTGTCTTGGTGGGGAAAGGAACAACCTGTGTTCTACCTCTCTTGTATCCTTTTGAAACCAAGGAAAGATGGCTACCTGGGAACTTTGGCTTTGACTTTTGAACAAAACCTTCAAAGAAAGGAGTACCATCTATTTGGCTACTCCAGCCAGAGCAGATGGCCCTAAGAAATGACTGTTATGTAGAACTATATAAACAAATAGCAGCTCAAGAATGAGGATGTGCTACTATATTCTTTGGTACTCATTCATAGTGATTATGTCATGGCTGGGGCCTTGATTCACAGACTTAGAAAGAACATTGAAAAGAGATTATGTAACTTATGATCATTCTTGGAAAAAATATTCCTGCCAAGCGTAATAATGCAGACCTATAATCTCAGCATTCAAGAGGAAAAACAAGCAAATGAATAAACAAACAATATTCCCTCTTTTCAGTTTGACCCTGCTGTTTTACTAGTGGTCTGGTGAGGTAGTGGAAGAAAAAAAGACCACAGATTCTTCCTGACTAGCATCTTGACTTTAGCCATTTCAGATTAAAGTAGAAACTATCTGGTTTTCCAAAGCTAGTAAAAGTGTATTCTTGTTAAATCATTGTGCCTAAAATGTACAGTAGAAGCTGAGTTCAATCATTTGAAACCCAGGAATCAGGAAAGATACCATAGAGAACCTCTTAAGGCCCATTCATTGCTGTGATTATGTGCATATAATCTAGGTTACTGTCTTCGTTCCTTTCTTGTTACTAGGTCATAATACCGACACCAACAAATTAAAGGAGGAAAGGTTTATTTGGCTCAGTTTGTAGAGGTTTCAGTCTATAGTTGGCTGGCTCCAAGGCAGTGTGGCATAGTAGAGGAGAAACAGCCCATGGCGCAGCAGATGGCAACAGCAGCAGCAGCTGTCTTCTTTCTATCCCTTTATATATAAAATTCCCATAAGGGATGCTAGAGATGTAGAACAGCTATAAATCGCCTTAGGTAGTCTGTTACAAGACACCAGAAAAGAGAGTCAGCTCTCTCATAAAATTCTAGCATCAGTAACTCACTACCTTAAAGGACCCCAGGATCTGAGCAACTCAGAGAATACACCTTGCTCAGAATCTAGAGCCTTCTCTATAAAATGCTGTCCCACAAGTGTCCCTGTCCCCATTCTCCCCACCCCACAGCCTCATGAGGACAGTAGGCTAAGCATGAAGGTCCTAACTTCTCTCCCCTTTTCTCCTTCTTTCACTACACAGGCTGCAAGCCTATTGATGGGTGCTCCCCACATCCAAGGTGGGGCTTCCTGTTACCCACACCCAGAACAAGGCTAAGCCAATCAGTGGACGAATCCAGTTATCACATCCTTAGTCTGTATTCATACACTCTAGATTCAGCCACCTCCAAAAGCCCCACCTGTGAGTGCATGAAGCCTGGGGAGACATGTAGATACAAGTCATAACAGTTAACCTTAAACACTTGGAGCAATAATTCTTTCTGTATCTGTTTTCACCACTACTCTTTTGTCTATTGACTTTGTCTTCTTTTTCACGCTTTCTAGTACCAGTGGTACCAGTTTGGGTGGGAAGAAGGAATAAAAAAAGCCCTCATATTAAAATTATTGCCAAAGCTAGGCACAGTGGTGCACACCTGTAATTCCAACTACTTGGAAGGCTGAGGCAGAAAGATCACTTGAGCTCATGTTCAAGAGCAGCCTGGGGGACATAGTGATACTCTCAAGAGTCGGGGGGAAGTAGCTGCCAAGAAGAAAAATCAGATGGGGTTATAGTTCATGGAAAAAAAAAAAAGGTTTTTCCATAGTCTGAATTTTCAGACATCGATACCCTTCATTTACTCTTTTAGATCTGAAAGTATAATTGTCCTCCCTATAATCTTTGACAGAAAGATTGGTTTGGTCAATAAACTTTAGTTCTGTACAGCTGATTCTTAAAGATGTGAGACCATCTATTTGTCTCCCTTTGGTGTTACTCTGAAACTGCTTTCTCCATTTACTAAGTATTTACTGTGCCTCCATGTCACTTTAGGTCTGATAACACAGGCTGTAAGAGCAAGAGGAAATAAGACAGACCCAGCTCTACTCTCATAGGATGTTCAGCAAAATGATGAAATATCCCATGATGATATTCTAGAGCTCAGGATACCATTGAATAGAATCTTTTCTCCCCTTTTAATTTAGGATTTCAAAGAAAACTAACCCATTTGCTAATACCAGACAGATTTAGATATCATTACAAGCCTCTAATTCCAGTCCTGTTCAAACCCTTTTATCTCCTAAAGGCAGTTGATATAGTGGAAAACATATTAGGATCAAATCCTGCCTCTGCTGTTTTTACTAGCTGTATAACTTTGGATAAATCACTTAAATTCTGAGTCACTTAATTCCTTTATTTGGAAGCAGTAGAATTAAACAAGAGGTCTGTAGTAACCCAAAGTTTCTTTGCTGGTCAACACCCTGTTGCAGAGGTAGTGGTAGGATTCGGATGTGAGAAAAGTAGATTTCAGAGAACCATAAGCAGAAAATCTTGTCAAATCAACCTGATCTCGAAAAGAAATAGAATAACAGAGCTCCTTTGGGTTCTTGTGATCCCTGTATTTAGATAACTATTTTAGATTCCTTAGATTCCTATGGATCTCTTTTTACTAGTTCTCTTTAGTTTTACTTTAACTACGCCCAAGTTGTCTCCTCCCCCATGTCATCCCAGGAACAGTATGCTCAGACTGTGAAGGGCCCTACACCCCACCCCATGGTAACCTAGCTCATTGTTTAACCTTTCCTGATCCCTTTTCTCCATTAAAAACCCTCCACTCCTGGGCCAGGGATTTCGCTCAGTGGCACCGCGCCTTCCTGAGTTAGATCCCCATTACACAAAAAACTCCTCCTATGTCCTCCTGTTTTTTTTCTTAGTGATTTATTAGCAAACTTGAAGCTATTGGACTGAGATATCAGTAGCTTTAAATGTATTATCATCCTGGATAATTCAAGTATTAATAAATTTAAATAGCAAATGGAAAGCTGAGCATGATGGTATGCCTATAATCCCAGCCTGGGGAAGGAGGAGTGAGTTTGAAGTGAGTCTGGGCTACATAGTATGTTCAAGACCATACGTACATAGTGAAACCCTATCTGAAAAAAAGGAAGGAAAAACATTACATTTGGGAAAACATTTAGGCAAATGACACAAAACAGTATAGTCTGAAATCTTTTGCCATCAAATCTTTTGCTTTTTTTTTTTTTAATATGTCCATTGTAATAGAGGGGGATCTCTTGCATGAGGCAGAAAAGGAGTTGTGTCAGGAGACCAAAACCAGAAGACAATGCTAGAACAAGATTATTTTAGGGAAGAGTTATTATTCTAGTCATTTTTCCTTTAGACACAAACATCAAGAAAAGTTTGGAATGAATGTTTGAAAAAAGTGGAGTGTGAGTGGGCTGGATGCATGTGGAGCAGAAACTGTACCCAGTGATAGTTTGTGCCCTCATGGTGCCATGCTCTTGGTAAGGACTGAGAAGCTATTCATTGATTACATAAATCATACACCTTTGTTTGTATCTGGATGCATCACATTTGCTGTTGGCCAAGGGCATAGTTGGCCTTATGTGTACTCAGCTACCGGGAAGCATCCTGGTTCAGAACTTGGATATATAGGTTATGGATGGATATGACATCATTACCAGTGGAGTTAAAGCTCAGAGTTTATCCCAAGTTCATAAGTGATGACATCTTTGGTCTGTATTTTAAGTTCCAGGCCCATGGTACTTTTTGTCATTCACTGAAGTAAAAGGGCTACAGGATGGTCCTTAAAATACAACTATCTAAAAGCCTGTTGACTTTTAGTCCACATAATGTATGTATGTATTATGTATGTATTTATTTATTTTTGGTTTTTTGAGGCATTGTCTCACTACATAGTTGAGACTGACCTGGAACTCACTATGTAGCCCAGGCTGGTCTCGAATTCACAGCAATCCTCCTGCCCCAGCCTCCCGAGTGCTGGGACAGGCGTGCGCCACCATGCCCGACCTCATACATAGTGTTTTTAAGGCTCTCTAATTTAAATTCTTAATATTTGGGCCCTGCTTATTATAGAAGTGATTCAAATCTCTTTTCTTTACCTTTAGTTTTCCCTGCTCTCAGGGGAGAAAAATGACTCTCTCCATTATTTTCCTAATGGGTTGTTTTTTGTTAGGTGGGTTTGCTTGTTTTTCTGTCTCCATCATTTGGGGCAAGTGGATCAGAGATGTCTTTTGTGCATTTGCATCATTGTCAATCACCCTTTTTTCTAAGGTAATATTTGGATTCTAACTTGAAGATCAAAAAGCTGAGAAATATTTGAAGTGGCTTTGGTATCATGGACAATGGAATTGCAGTGGGTGGGCATGTGCAGAGCTTATAAACTAAATAAAGGCTCTTAGGAAGCCATATGCTGAGGCATTTCATCCTTTCCATAGCAACTTTCTATGTAAAATTAAGCATTCTGCTGTCGGTATAGTTTAAAAAATTTTCAGCTCCTGTTAAGAGCTGTATATCTGCCATTATCTGTTTACTTTCATCCAATTTCTGTGTTCTTCTCTATTCCCAGGTGGCATTGGCAGGGTGGTCAATGGAGCCTTCATGGTGCTGAAAGGGCATCGATCTATTGTTAACCAAGTCCGATTTAATCCCCACACCTACATGATCTGCTCCTCTGGTGTAGAAAAGATTATCAAGGTGAGGCACCTTCCTATTCTGTCCTTTAGAGAAATTATTACAATTCACCATAAGAAGAAACTGGAACAATGTATATAAGACCTCATATCTGAACACACTTAGGTCTGTTAAATTTTTGAATGATTTTGACATATTAAAAAAATATTGGGAAGTTGTTATTAGAAAATGATTTAAACTTCAGAACTATTCTTTTTTTTTTTTTTTTTTTTTTTCTTTTTTGGCTTTTGGCTTTTGGCTTTTGGTTTTTTGTTTTTTGGCCCTATATCCCTGATCCAGAACTTTTTTTTTTGGTACCAGGGATCAAACGCAGGACCTTGTGCTTGCAAGGCAGGCAGTAGCACCACTGAGCTAAATCCTCGGCCTCACAACTATTTTTAATTGAAGAATTCTTGGTTCTTTTGGGACTATTTTTAATATATTTATTAAGTTTATATGTTTTACATGTGTCTCTTTTCATTAGAAATGCTGTTTGTACCTTTATATGTTACATAATTCCACAGAAAAGTCTAGATGGCCTTTCTTTCCATTGTTATAAATAGAACTACATATATACATGAATACATTTCTATATCTTATATGTGTATGCTTACATAGTTATGTAGATGCTTATATATATTCTTTAAAATACCCCTTTCATTGTGCATATAGGTAACTCTCGAACGTGGCTATTTTTATGATAGAGGCCATACAGGTCTCAGCTGGAGACCTTAAGATATCTGAATCTCTCAGGGCTGTTGGTCTAAAGTCATGTTACTTTCCAGTAGCCCTGTAACTCTAATTATTTAAAAACTAATCACTTCAGAAAACAAAAATCACTAGTCTGCTTTTGTTTTGTTTTTTGTTTGTTTGTTTGTTGTTTGTTTGCTTTTGTATTTTGAGATAGGGTCTCACTATATAGTTGAGACTGACCTGGAATTCACTGTATAGCCCAGGCTGGTCTTGAACTCACAGCGATCTTCCTGCCTCAGCCTCCCGAGTGCTGGGATTATAGGTATATACACCGCCATGCCTGGCAAAAAATCACTAGGCTGTGAAACAAACAGATGGTGGGTTCTAGATAACTACTTTGCATGCTATCAAATTTCCAGTGGCCTTTCATGTTGAATATGATGACTTCTGCTTTCTAAACCTCATCTGGAGGTAGCCCTTTAGTATACACTGTCCCACCATATCCACTTGACACTAATTGTTAATATGATTTTTCAGAACCATAGCTTAAAAAAAAAAAAAAAAAAACAAAAAAACTACTGCATGTAGATGTGATTGAAACTACTTGGATGTGAATACTAAATATACCAGTTGCGTATCACTTGAATAAACTTATCTCAGCCAAGGAATAGTTTTATAGCTGCAACAGAGGGGAACCCTACCTGGCTGGTATCCACACAGGGATAGTTCATGGCCCATCACTCACTCCAGGTGCTTGTAACCCTTTATCCACATATAAGAAACCTGTTACAGGAAAAATGATGAATTTGTAAAGAACTTGTAATAACTTGACTTTTAAGCAAGGATGAATGATATCCCCTCAAAAAGTTAATTCCTCAATTTTTTTCTTAGAATGATATAAGATTCAGAAGGAAAGTAACCTGAGAGAAGTTTCAGAGAAAAAATAAAAGCTGCTTTGTGATGACTTAGTAATTATTCTTTTCTTTTGTTTTTACCTATCCAAAGTTAAATGAAGGTGTATTTGATAATAGGAAATAGCTATCAGGTATAAATTATTGAAGCTCAGTATGGTGGCCTACAACTGTAATTCCAGCTTTTTGGAAGGCTGAGGAGAGAGGACAGCAAGTCTGAGGCAACTTAGTGAGACCCTGTCCCAGAATGAAAAAGATTGGGGCTGTAACTTAGTGACACAGCATCCCTGGTTTCAATCCCCAGCACCACACACAAAAAAGAAGGAAATAAAATAATGATGCCAGAGTTGGTAGTGCACACCCAAAACCTCAGTTGCTCAGGCTTGAGTCTAACCTGGGAAACATAGTGAGGACCCCCCCACCCCATTTCAAAAAAAGGGGGATATAACAGTCCATGGGTAAATATTTTTATTTGTCTTAGTCCAACTTCTCTGTTTAAGCTGTTTAGTCCTAGAGATCAGGGCTAACTTTCATGGCTGCACTTGTTTCCCCAGAGGGACAGAATGGGACTTCAGGAATTTTTTTACCAACTTTTCTTTTTACAGGTGATGAAATTTAAATTACAAATTATCTGCTTGAGGTCACACAGTTTATTAAGAGTAAAGCTAAGATAGAACCCGGTCCTATGTGCCACCACATTCACCATGCTAATGCAACAGCAATGGGCACCCTGCTTTGATCATCTTAGTGGTCCTTCGCTTGGGCAGTCATTGAGATGGCCCTGTTCTTTCCATTGCTTTCTCTCCTCTGGCCTATGACTAATGGGTTGGCACTGTAACATATCCTCTCTAGGCCCCTGATGTTCTCTTTCTCAGAGAGCTCTCTGCTTGGGCATCTCCTTTAGAAGAGAAATTCCTTTTTGGCTGTGCATTCTGGGATGCTTCTGTGCTGAGTCTCCTCAATTACTGTTTCGTCAACTGAAGTCCTTATCCTAAAGATCATATGTTGGAAACTAGCCAAGTTCTTAAGAAAGAGAAGAAAATATTTTCTCTGTGAGGTTATCCAGACAGCTCTCTGGAGCTTATTGCTCTGGGTTCCCATAGGAACCGGCAGGCATGTTTAGCCATTTGAAACTTAAATCTTATGCACAGATGACCATAGTGAGAGGGAAAGCAAAAAGCTTTGGAGTTCCCAGCTTCGCTGTCTCACAGGTATCTTCCCCATTCACTGTCTATTTGGGAATTATGCAGCATTAAAAGCATTACAGGTACCAGGCATAGTGGCGCATAACTGTGATACAGGGGGGTCATGAGTTTGAGGCCACCCTTGGCAGCACAGCAAGACCCTATCTGGAATTACCCAAAAGCCCTGCAGGAGGACTGGAAAGGAGATGGATGAGTCTAAGTGCAGTGCCGGCCTCGTCTTGTCTATTGGGATTCCTGCCCGAGCTTGTGCCTGTATCATCCTGAAAGGCCATTTAGTCTTGGCACCCTAGACTGTCTACCACCTATAAAGTGAGGACTTGCAACCCACGAGTGACTGGGGAATTACCTATGTCTGACAATTTCTATTTTAATAAATGTCACTTTGCTGATTGCTGCTTCTGAGAAGGTCAGTGGTTCAAAGAACATCGACAGTACTATGTTGTGGTCCAGCTGAAGACCTGTTTTTTACACTCCATTCTATCTTTTTCTTGTCCTTAATCTTCATTACCACCTTTTTAGCCTGGAGAAGAATCTGTGTTAACACCTACAACAGGTCTTATAGGTGCCCACATTTAACAAAAAGAGTTTGTGTTATAGTTAAACATGAGGCAGATCCTGGCATTTTCCCCCTAAAAGTGCAGTATTCGTTTATTTGCCCCATTATTTGTTATACATCTACTGTGTGCTATTTGTGGGGAAATGAGGATAAAGAAAGATGGTACAGTTCTCCCTATGAATTGATGACCCAGTAGAACAGAAAAGAAATAAAGACATTGAGAGATGAAGTGCGTACATAAGGGATATAAATAACCATGAAGAAGGGAGAGATTTTTCTCACTTGGGGTAATTATAGTATAGGTTAATATTTGAGCTCAATTTGGATGAATGGAAAGACTTCACAACAAGGAAGGACAGAAGGTGAGAAGAACATTCCAGGTAGAGAAAATGGATATTTATTTCATTGGATCCCCAAGGGTTTAATCAACGCTTACTATGTACCAGGAAGGCATTGTGATTATGAATAAAATGTTCAGAAACAGTGGAGAACCTGTTGAGAAAATGATCATGTTGGGCCAAAGAAAGGAAGACCAGAAAAGAGAAGGATTAGGATATAAGGCTAGGAAGGTAGGCTGGGCCAGCCCAGAGGGTCTTGGAAGCCACATTAGAGAGTGTAGCATGCCCTTCAGTATCAGTTTCGTATCTTACTTATGCATGTTTACTTGGTATATGAACAAACTAAATTTGGTGTAACAGTGCAAAGAGCAAAGAGGACTTAGAACTGCTACATCAAGCATGTGTGTCCTGGTCACTTGGTAGTACAAACACTTGACACAGTTTCCTTCCTTTTGGGTGATATTTGAATAAGAATTAAATAAACTTCATCCTTTTCTTCAGCAGCCCTTGTACTAAACTCTTTACTAGGCTTAGAGAAAAAGCTGTTGACTCTCTCCTTTTTCTCAGAACCTTACCCCAGGAGGCAAACCTAACCACATTTAGTGGGTAGCAGGAAGTTGTTTTTGTTTTGTTGTGTTGTGTTTTCGTGATACTGGAGACAGAACCCACTAGTGCTCTACCACTGAGCTATTTCCCCAGACCTATTTTTATTTTTTATTTTGAGACAGGGTCTTCCTAAATTGCCCAGGCAGAACTCAAACTTGCAGTCCTCCTGCCTCAGCCTCTGGGATTATAGGTGTGTGCTGCTGCCCCTGGCTAGGAAAAAAAAAATTTTTTTTTTTTTTTTGTCGTCGTTCTTCCTGTTCCTTTGATAACTTTTGGAGTAAAGAAATAAACAATTCAATTCACAAATAAACAATTTCACAAATGTTTGAAACTGATGTTTTAAAGATGATGACCAAGATAATAGAGACTTAGTATTTTTGATGTTCACATATCTCTTGAGAGTGGATCTAAAGCTCTCTGGTTACTGTATTCATTTACCAAAAGAAAAAGAAAGCTGGTACTTGTGGATTAAGTGATGTCATTTCATAGTTCTCATTTTTGCGGACGAGAAACAGATTTTCAGGGATGAAATCATTTGCTCAGGACCATAGGACATCACCATGTCAAAGGTTCCTGCCTCCTTCTGCAGCTCTGTACTGTCGCTTCCTTGAGGCAGTCCCTTGCTGCCTGGGAGTGCACTGGATTTCACGAATGGATGAGATCCATCAAATTCCCTGTGAGAGGAGGGAGCAGAGCCTTACCCAGGGTAGAGAAATAGCACACACATGGTCCTCAGCCTGTAACCTCGCACCTGTAATCTCAGCCTCTTCAGAGCCTGAGGCAGGAGTATCATAATGGAGGCCAAACCAAGCCACATTACAAGACCTTATCTTAAAATGTAAAATTTTTATAAAGGCCTTGGGGGGTAGCCTAGTGGGAGTGAGGCCCTGGGTTCAATCCTCAGTACTTCCCCCTTCCCCAAAAGCATAGTCCTGGCACTTATCTATGACTTTCCCAGAGTTTCGGAAAAGTAAGGATTTGGAGTCAACATTGTAGTTATTCTTCTGGTGATTCTTGAACACTTCAGAGTTTGAGAAACATTGTTTTAAAACTCCAGGGTGAGGGGTTGGGGATTTAGCTCAGTGGTTTGGCGCCTGCCTCGCAAGCACAAGGACTAGAGTTCAATCCCCAGTACCAAAAAAAAACCAAAAACTCCTGGGTGAGATTATAAAGCTAGAGAGGAGAAAACACCCAAGGAGTTGTGGCCAGGGAAAAAAACTGAAGGAAGAATGAATCTGAATTGGGAACTGGTGGGGAGAAGCAACTCTGCAAGGTTTCTTCAGCCCCCTTTGAACATGGAATCTCCCAGAAATTGCCATGTAACTCATAACAGGAATGAGCCTCAGCAAAGTTTTCCCACGAGGAGGTGAATTTGTCCTGATATCTTTGTGAAAACAAAACTTTTGTCTTGGAGGATGAGGAATGAGGAGCCACTGTTCCCTGGGTTGGATGCCATCTAAAGATAGATACCAGCCTGTCAGGCAAGAAAATCGCCTGGAATTTTATTGAGTTGTCATGGCTTCATGCTGAGGCAACTGAACTTCTCTGTGGACCAGTCTGGCAGTCAGGTGGAACTAATCATTCTCTGTTGCAGTGACAGCTTAATTACCATGAACTTGATTTTTGCATAACTTATCGAACCTATAAAGTTGGGCCTTTGAATCAGATGGACCTCAGTTGGAATCCTAGTTATGCCACCTTTTTGCTACTAACCAGGTGACTGACCAGCGAGTACAGGAGTGTTAGAGGATAGGACTACATCACCCCTCTAAGAGGAGTGTGTCTTACCTGTTCCTGCAGCTAGGAAAAGAGTTGGGGAGCAAGCCAGCAGCTCCCTGTTTTAAAGAACCCAGTTTCCTGGGTAACTGGTGTCTGCATGTCCAAGAGGGAACTGCAGTGTAGGCAGTTGGCTATTCTTATCAAGTTCCAGTAAGCAGTTCCCTAAAAACAGACATGTTGCAGTTGGAGAGAAGTGGAGCTCTAGATATAGGCTGAAATAATGTCACAAGAGGACTCCCTGCTGGCTGTTTTTACTTAAGACAAGTGGGACCTCTCTGGGCACAGTGTCCACCTTCTGAAAGTTTTCAGCACACTGGCAACCTTCAAAGAGGCATCCTCCATCCTCTGAGACTAAGATTGTAATTTACAAGGTACTAACAGAGGAAACTGAAGGGGAGAAGATTGTGGGAAAGATAAGGTGTGATTATCTTGGACCTAGAGACGTGACCTAGGTCTCTTGACATGAGATTATTCCTATGTTTTTCCCCTTACTCTGGAAACCTATTTTCATATGCAACCGCAACTCACCTGATAAGTCTGGTAAAGTTTTTTGTTTTTGTTTTTTAGACAGGGTCTTGCTATGTAGCCCAGGCTAAGCTGGAATTTGTGATTCTCCCTCCTCAGGCTGAGTGCTGGCAGTACAGCCCTACTGCTCCCACTATCAGCTAGAAAATATAAAGTTGGTTATGATGGGGAGGGCCTGGGGAAACCCTGCCTGGTGTTCTTTATCACCACCAGCTATAGCATCCTTTCCAGTCAGTTCTGGTTGTTTTTCTCTTCATCTGTGCAGATCTGGAGCCCATACAAACAGCCAGGATGTACCGGAGACCTCGATGGCTGCATTGAGGATGATTCCCGCTGCCTTTACACCCATGAAGAGTACATCAGCCTAGTGCTCAACAGTGGGAGTGGCCTGTCCCATGACTACGCCAATCAGTCTGTCCAGGAGGACCCCCGGATGATGGCATTCTTTGACTCCCTGGTCCGCCGAGAGATCGAGGGCTGGAGCTCAGACTCGGACAGTGACCTCAGCGAGAGCACCATCCTCCAGCTGCACGCGGGGGTCAGCGAGCGCTCGGGCTACACTGATTCGGAATCCTCAGCTTCTCTACCCCGCTCCCCACCCCCCACGGTGGATGAGGCCGACAGCGCCTTCCACCTGGGGCCCCTGCGTGTTACCGCCACACCTGCAGTGGCACCCACCCCACCAGCGCCCACCTGTGAGGACGCAGCCTCTCGGCAGCAGCGCCTCTCAGCTCTTCGGCGTTACCAGGACAAACGCCTCCTAGCCCTGTCCAATGAGTCAGATTCAGAGGAGAACGCCTGTGAAGTCGAGCTGGACACAGACCTCTTCCCCCGGCCTCGCTCACCTAGCCCTGAGGATGAGTCCAGCAGCTCCAGCAGCTCCAGCAGCTCTGAAGATGAGGAGGAGCTAAATGAGCGCCGCACTTCCACTAGGCAGCGGAATGCTGCACGGAGGAGGCAGAAGACACTTCGGGAGGAGAGGCCCGGTGCACCCACCAAGCCCACCAGCACCTACATTGGTGAGGACAACTGCGACTACCCACAGATCAAAGTGGACGACCTTTCCTCCTCCCCGGCCTCCTCCCCTGAGCGGAGCACTTCTGCCCTGGAGATTCAGCCAAGCCGGGCATCACCAACCTCGGACATAGAATCAGTTGAGCGAAAGATTTATAAAGCTTATAAGTGGCTCCGTTACTCCTACATCTCCTACTCAAATAACAAAGATGGAGAGGCCTCCCTAGTGGCAGGGGAGGCGGATGAAGGGAGAGCAGGAACCAGCCACAAGGACAACCCTGCCCCTTCTTCTAGTAAGGAAGCCTCTCTGAACACAGCCTTGGCCCAGAGGAATCAAGACCTGCCTCCGGAAGGCTGCAGCAAAGATGCGTGTAAAGAAGGGACATCCACTAGAAATCCCAGCAGTGGCTCAGGCCACGAGCATAGCAGCCACCCTCGGGCAGAGGCACCAGAGGGCACCTCCCAGGACACTAACAATGGTGGCTCTGTAGAACACTCTTTTGAAACAAAGAAGCTCAATGGAAAGGCCCTGGGCAAGGTCCTGAGCAGCCGGGCTGAAGAGCCACCCTCTCCCCCTGTCCCCAAGGCATCTGGCTCCACTCTCGGCACTGGATCTGGCAACTGTTCTAGGACCCAGTCTGATGACAGCGAGGAGAGGAGCCTAGAAACCATCTGTGCCAACCATAACAATGGACGCTTACACCCCCGGCCCCTTCACTCCCATAACAATGGGCAGAACTTAGGGGAGCTGGAGGCAGTAGCCTGCTCTTCCCCAGGACACTCAGACGCTGACCATGATAACTTGCCCCTGACAGGGGCTGTCTTACACAAAGATTGTTGTGGGTCTGAAATGACCTGTGAAACCCCCAATGCTGGAACGAGAGAGGACCCCACTGACACCTCAGCCACAGACAGCAGCAGAGCTGTTCATGGCCACAGTGGTCTCAAAAGGCACCGAGTTGAGTTGGATGACACAGATTCAGAGAATTGCTCCTCAGAGAAGAAATTAAAAACATGATAAATACAAAGGGAAAACAAAAAGCTACAAAAAGTAGCCTTCAAAAAATATTCTTGTTTCGTGAACACAGCAGAAAGGAAAAAAGTATTAAAGGCACATAAAACCAGGGCCTGAAATTTTGTGTCTGCTGCTGCTCCCTTCTATTCAATATTCAACCTTGGGTCTGAATGTCCAGCTGGCCATTGGCCTGTGCTGTGTTTGGAATGAGGAAAGGTCCAAGTAACTCCTTTCTGGTGAGACAAGAGCATAGTGCCCCTGTGCAAGGGTCTCTGAAAGTTATTGCTGAGACCTTAGACTTGTTCTCGTGTGCATGCGTGCGTGTGTGTGTGTGTGTGTGTGTGTGTGCGTGTGTGTGTGCACGCACACTGGCACTGCGAGCTCACTGTCTCATGAGACTTTTCTTTTTGTTGTCTATCAGCAAGGACCTGTGAGTCTGTAGTTTTTGACATCTTACCCTGTTCGCATGTTGTAGCTGTTCAGGTCTTAAGGAGGAGTGCATGATAGATCAGATTGTGCAGCCATTAAGTTGTAGGTTTATATCTCGAGAATATAAACAAGCCTTCAGCCTTTGGCTCAGCTGGAGAGGAAATCATGGTCCCTTTCTTAAACCTGCCATGTTTTGTCTAACACTTCTTCATTGAGCATATAATACGGAGATACTAAAAGTGAAGCATTTTCAATGCTGGCAAGCAGCACTTCAGATTCAAGAGCATATAGATGGCTGATGAATTTCATTGTTTGCAAGTTGAGCAGTGTTGTAATATGTCAAATTATGACTAGTCATGAATAACATGCTTTAACCAGTTAGGTGCTAGTTTCAAAGACACACTCAAAAGGTCAGGTGCTTCCTTGGCTCTGACTGATGGTGACTAGGCCTACTAAAGAAGGGGGGTAAGACAGCTCTGCAGAGCTTTGTGTCCAGACTACTAAAGTGGGTGTTAGAGGTGTGTTAATGAAGAAGTGTAGTAAAGACCAGAATGTGGTATTATATTCTTTTAATTCAACCCCAAACCATTGGGCAGAATTGGTGGGACTAGAGTCTTCCCTCAGGCTTGCAGTTGACAGAGGCTGTGGTATTCTAATTGAACTTTGCAGAGCAGTAGGCATCTCTTAAAGTGACAGATTCCTATTGAGTAAGAGACAGAGAGTGTGGGAAGAGGAGTCTTTGGTTTAACTCCTGGCTCCCAAAAGAAGTTCAGTTCTTTTGAAGTAGGTAATGTTTGAGGGGGAAAAGGCCAAAAAAGATTTTCAGCTTTGTGATGGTGGTGGTTACAGTCACTCAGTTATCAATGAAGGGTTGTATAAGACAGGAAGACCTAATAAGAATGGTCAGATGTCTTATTGGCACAAACATCAAGAAATCCAGAATAGTGGTGAAGAGAGAAAACAATATACTTTTCTTGAGTGCAAAGGTGCTAGGCAACTAGGAGCTTTATAAAAGAACAGGAGTTGTTGTAAGCCAAGAGGAGCTGCCGAGCTTTGTGGAAAGGAGGACGTGCCTAGTATATGTGTGATGGGCCTAGGTGCAAGAGCACTGTTTTAGAAGGCATGAAAGAGTGTGAGTAGAGTGGGATGTGTACAGTAAAACACCTGGACTTACTGGGGGAGTGGAATGATGATTCTGTAACCAACATTAGACTTGCTTTGGATTTATAATTAAAATGGTTCTATGATCTGTCTTTATTCACAGATAATTGTAAATTCTGGTTTTATAAGCCCAAGTTATTTTACATTTGCTTTCCAAAATGTATTAAATTGGAATTTTGTAATCCTTTATATACAAAAAAGATACAACCACTCAGTGTGTGTTTCTCTTCCCCTTCTTAGCATACCCAGTCCTTATGTTGTTATTTTGTTTTATGTTCATCTAATCAGCAGGTAGTGTCTTTTGACTTCTCTAAAGACAATCCACATATCTTCTTGGAGTGTAAAGAAGTAGCATTCCATTTCCTTGGGAACTAGCTAGTGGTAGTTACAGTTCTAGGTGGAAAACTTAGTCTTTCATTGTAAAAGTGTTTATCTCATTTGAGTACTCAAAAGAGAAGTCAGAGTTCATTTTGATTAACTTAGAAGCCAAAAAAAGATCACTTTTAGAAAGGATGCTCCCTGGGATAGGCTGGGAAATGGTTGCTTCTGCAGCCTCTCTGTCCTCACTTCAAAGGTGTGTGTGTGTGTGTGTGTGTGTGTGTGTGTGCGTGTGTGCGCGTGCGCGCATGATCCTGGAAACCTGACCTCTTCCAGGGTCCCTTTGCCTAAACTACTGTAGAATTGAGGCCCCAACTTGGGGTTTTATTTAATCCCCAGGTTCTTCCATGGTAGGTATTTTTACTAGCAAGATAAATGGCACTGGTTAGATTAAGAACAATTTGGAAGTGCCTCGTGTTTTCTTCTGCATCCTGTACATAAAAGTTTTAAGTGGCAGGTCCAGATACTAAAAACTGTTTCTTTTCCCCTTTATTTCCCACCTGGTTTTGTAAATATTTCCTGAACATAATAGGTAAATGAGTTGTTGGCTTGGGCCAAATGAAGTTTGCAGCTGTGCTTGATTTAATAAGCCAAGAGTCTCGTCTGTCAAGGTGCCTTCCTCTGCTGAAGCCTTACCTCCTCATAGCCCAATCTCTTCTCAACCAGCGACGTTAACTCTTCTCTTGTGTATACGCAAATAAACCTATTATTCACTCTCCCGTCTTCCTCTTCTCTTCCAGGGAAGACTTGCTTGCTTTGACACCCTTCCACCTTTTTTGTTTCTTGTTTTAATTCTTGCCCAATTGGAAACTTGACTCAAAGTTATGCTGAAGACTAGAAGACAAACTCTACAATGGTCATTGTCACTTCTGAGTATTGGGACAAAGGTCAGATCTGACAAAATGTAGGCTAGGGAAGTCGTATCTACTTGGTCACCCAGGTTTACAGGGACCCGGGAGAGTGAGACCTTGGAACTAAAACTGATGCCTTTTAATCGATGTAATTTAGGGGAGCATTGCAGTAAAGTGACAAAACAACTCCCACAAAATTTTTCTGATGTTTAAATTGCTTTTCCTGACCTGCCTCAGGCATACATTGCACTTTTGTTCTTTAGAGAGAAAAAATTCATATACCCTGTCTGTAAAGCAGCCTACTACAGTTACCCAAATATTCTTGCCAACTAAGACTCTTGTCAAGAAAACATATTTCCAAAGGAAGACTCCTCCAATGGCCTAAGTCAGTCATGTGCCAGGGTGAGTCCTGGACTTGCCCGCAGCAGCAGGATAACAGCTTTGACAAGCTATGTGGTTCTGTCAGGTGGGATATTCCAGGAAGACTGCTCACAGGTCTTTAAATACCCATAGTGGAATGAAATGACATTCAAATCAGTTAAAGATGATTTTTACTTTTTTTAAAGAACTAGTGTTTTTAACATGAGTATAGATGAGAAGAAAATCTTACCTTCTGTACTCTTTACGGCTGTCATTATTAGTGCAAAATTAATAAGATGCTTCTCAGGATGGAGACTTACAGGCAAAGATAGCCTTCAGGATATCCTGCACTAACAGCCAGGGACTAGCAGGAGTTATTCCATTCAGTTCACAGTGGGGTTTACTTGGGCTGTGCAGAAGGATACTGCCAAGCTTATTGTAAGGAAATAGTACGTCCAGTCTTTCAAATTACAGTGAGAAATGACTCCTTTTGTGAACCCCAAGCCATGTATAAGGTCCTGAGTGCAATCCTTGGTACTGGGATGGGGGAGAAGTCAATACAAATACAGGGCTGGTTTAGAGAAGTACCTGCAGACCTCAAATGCATAAATACCATGGGGGTGGGGAGTTGTATAACAGCCTGAAACCAGCATTCTTAAATGTACATCAGAGACAGGTGAGTGAGCACACTTGTAATCCTAGCGCACTGGGCAGCTGAGGCAGGAGGATTGCAAAGTTAAAGCAACTTTGTGACTTAGTAAGAACCTGTCTCAAAATTTTGAAAAGGGATGTGGGGATATAGCTCTACAAAGGCCCTGGGCTCAATCCCCAGTACCACAAAAAATAATAAAAGATTAGTGTGTGGTTGTTGGTTGGCATAGGCTTTTATGAAGCAATTAACATCCCCCTGCTCAACTATTCCTAGGCTGGTTATTGACAGTATTTGGAGCCTGCCCTGACTCTCTTTCTCTTCATGTCTGAGCCACTGTCTGCTAACATTTAGTTTCTCCATGACCCTACCTTAAAGAGTTATGGCTAAGTTCTTTTCCTAAGAGAACTGTGGTGGGAATGGCACTGAACTAGCAAGATAAAGCTGATTTGAGTGCAGTGAAGTAGCTGTGTGAGCCTTGGGCAAGTTGCCTATGCTTTTGGCAACAGAAATAATGATCTCTCAATGCTAACATCTGGTTCCTGGCAGTGAGAGGACTCTAGATCTCACTCTGATTCTTGAGATACTCTGTAGTGTCCACCACAACAAGTTGAGGAGCCAAGGGCTTTGGCAGGTCTACAACTGCCGAGAGCCTCAAACTCTATAAAATAGGGAAAGAGTACCTGTCTCGCAGCACACTTTCAGAGAACTGGGTGAGCATACGTACAATATAAGCAAAATAGCCAGGTGCAGGACCCCAGCCATTGGGAGGCTGAGTCAAGAAGATGGCTTGACCCCAGGAGTTTAAGGCCAGCCTGGCAACAAGGTGAGATCTCATCTCCAAAAGAATTTTTTTGTGTGTGTATGTGTAGATACTTGTAGATACCATGTGGAAGGCTTTTTTGGGTGGGGTCTGCCAAGAAGTATGAAGTTCAGAGAAAGAAAGTACTGCATATTATCAAGTCTTAACCTCAAACCACAGGGAAAGAGTAAATTATCCCCATTATACTAGACCTGACAAAGCTGAGTCTGGGGCCTTTGGTTCCACCTCTGAATTGGGGAGCCAACTCAGAGCTAGGAGCTTAAAGTAAGGCTGATAGCTCATAGATTGTTGCTTATGGCAGCAAGTCTGCAGAGATTGGAGTGAGGAGTGGCAGGCTTTACTAAGCTAGCTTTAATATCACCATATTGAGATGACCCAGACCTCAGGACCTGGAAAACAGCAAAGACATTTTCTGCCTTAAGAGCTGAAATCTGACCTGGCATTGGGCCAACCCTAAGAGCCAGAAAAGGGGCAAGCCATGGAAAAGCTCCATGAGTGCCAAAGGAGACCACTGATTAGAGTTTTCCATGCAAGATTGAGGGTGTGCAGTATAATACCCTGATATTCAAGAAGAAGCTAAGCCATAAAAAACCAGAAAGTCTGAGAAGGCAAAGGGGAAAAGGATCAGAGTTCAGTGCCAGTCCCTAAAGCACTCAGGACAGCACTGGAGATCAGGAGCACATGGCATGGTTCTTGGAGAGTGTTTTGCATTTCTGGTGGAAAAGAGGCAATGAAATTACATTAGGGGGAAAGCTTTTCAAATAAAGTACACTAGCCAGCAGAGAAGCCAGAGCACAGCAGAGGAGACCAGGAGGGCACAGAAGAATCAGTGCTTAAAGAAGCATTTTTAAACTGATTCTGAAGGAGGGAGGGAGAGGGTAGGTTGCTGCAGCATCTGGTTCTGCTTCATTTTGGTGATAGGCCAAAGGCAGTTTGTGGTGGGCCTGGACCCTGAGGGTGCTGCTCTCCACATGTTGCTGCTTCCTGGACATGGTTCTTGGTAGGAGAGGCGCTTACCTCACCTTCCTACCTGTATGACTCCAGCTGGGGCTTTGACAACAACATGGAGCAGTAGTAAGGGATTGAAAATGGCCTAAAAAGAGGTTGAACTGGGTGGAGTCTTTGGCAAAAGAAAGAGTCATCCAAACTGGAGGTTGGACCACTCACCCCAGAACACAATGGCCTTAATTCAGGGCTGCACCTCGTATCAGCTCGCCATTCCTGGGCTGCTGAATGCTCTCCTGTTTCAGCATCTGGGAGATGTAAATAAATCCTTTGGATGACTTTGAGAGAAGAGCAATTAACATTCGTTGGAAGGAAAGATAAAAAGCAACCAGAGTGTAGATGTTGAATTCTTTAGGTTTTAGGTATGCAGGGGCTTAAGAATGGAGGGTCTTTCAAGTTGTAAGAAAGGGCCAGAAAAGGAAAAGATGAGTTTTAAATGGAATCTTCCCCATGCAGGCCCAAAAAGACTGGTTCAGATCATTGTTCTCTTCCTGACTTCCAGTGCTATCTTTTCTTAAAACTAGCTGTGATAAGCTCATATTCCTTTGTCTTCACTGCAGTCTTCTCAAAGGGTTCCCCTGGCACTCTGTTCCTGAAGCAGCTGTCTAATTGGGCCCCAGGAGCAGAAGCTGCCAAGGTGAGCTTTGGCAGGGAGGTGGTCTGCACCAATAGGTGGACAGCTGGCCTGGCTCTGCCTCACTCTGCGTCTGGCTGGTGGGAAGATAGTGGTGAGAGTTGGCCCAAAGGCTAGTGTCCAAGTCTTGACCCTGGCTTATGCTGTGAGAGACCCTCAAAGATGTCCAGCCATGG